ATTCTGGAAGGGGAAATAGGTGAAAGTGGTTATGGGGATAGAGAAGAAAAAATATTTTAGGTGTGATTGGAAACTCCAGACTGTGCTTCTAGAAGGAGGATTTTGTTTTCTCCACCCCATAGTGGGAGGCCGGAGCCAGGAGTCAGGTGGATTCCAGGCATGTGATGGAGGGAGTGAAGGTGTGACCTGCCCTCTCTCCCCTCCTTGTGATGTATCTTCCCCATTTTCTTCCCTTGGCCGTTTCCTTTTCCCATCCTCCCTTCATTCTCTTTCTTTTCTCCCCCTTTTCCCCAATGCTGCCTAACGCATCTTCCTACTGCTGATTTATTATCTCCTTTTCTTTTCACTTCTCTTTTTTTCTCTCTTCTTCCTATTAGTATCTTCTCCATCTCAACCTCAATTCCTTCCTCCAAATTCCACAAAATGGCACTGGAACTTGGAGAGCCTGAACATCTATTTATTTATTTTTATTGCCTACTATCAACCTAACAGTAGAAGAATAGGATGTTTCACGTTTTCCTTTTGTCCAAAGACGACTTAAAATTAGTTATATGTAGTCTACCATTTGCTTTTGTTTCTAAATTGTTTTTTCCTTCTGGTAAGTGACCTTAAGTAGAACGACGGCATTCTCGCCTTTGTCATAATCAATCATATTCTGTGCATCAGTATTCAGGGTCATAGGAACTACATGAATGCTGGAGAGAAATTAACTGAAGCACTATAGTTGCTTTCTTATTACTAGAAATTACCTGAGCCAAAATACCAAGAAAGGATAATAGCCATTTTGAGCCTGGATGATATATCCAACTGAGTCATAATGTGGAAGAGACCATAGGAAAACTTGATAAAAAAAGAAATATATATTCAGCATGGTAAGTAAACCTTTAGAATAGGTGTAAATTTTAAAACTATTATTTAACATTTCATACAAAGAAATAGAAACACTCTGATCAGAACTGTAATCATGGAAATAAATGTGTGTGTAATTTAGGCACAATGTGTAATTCCACTGAAACACATACAAACTAGATACACACAAATTATATATATATATACACACACACACACACACACACACACACACACACACACAACACATATATACATTCTCAAAAGGTGTTAGATATTGTTTGTGCAGAAAAACATGCATATAGAGTCATAGATTCTTAGAATAACAAAGACATTAACAATCATCTCAAATTTAATATACTTTTAAGATAAAGAAATTGACCCATTCAGAGAGACGAAGAATGAAAGATGAAAAATGGAAGGGGCACCTCTGTGTAACCAGATGAATGGAAACCTGCTCAGTTATAGTTTTGCCTCCCGACTCCCAGGGGTCACATCAAAGAACAAAAGGCTGGTCCCCAGGATGAGCAGTCATCAGATGCTACTGAGGCCCTTGGCTCACCTGCAATGGATAGTGATGGCCAGTGACAGTCACTGTAGCTCAGATTACATGATTAATCTCATGTACTGCCTGGTACCTAAAGAAAATCAGAACACTGGGAGGCATGGCTAGGGTACCCCACCAGCACTGGGATAAATAGTGACCAGTTTCCTGAGGATGGATGTCCAGAGATGCTATTCAGAGACAAGATGGATATCAGGGATGAGCAAAGAACTCACACATCACTCCATGGGCACAGAAATACAAGTGCACTATAAATGGTTTATAGTTGGTCAACATGCATTCTTCCTAAATATCATTTTAAACTATTCTTTAAAAAAGTATTTCCTTGTCAGTTTCTGTTCTGTGACCATGCAGCCTGCATTCTATCTTCAAGCAAACTGTTTGTATCTAACATCAAATCTCTTGAGAGGCATCTTCAAGGAACATATTACAATCATTATGACCACAAAAGAAATGACTCTTGTCATGCTGAAGAAGAGATTCCACAGGGAACAAGTACCTTCAGCATCGGAATTGTGATTATTTACATCTCAGTCAAGATACCTTCTTTCATCCCCCTGAGGTGGAATTATCTGACAAATTAAATATCTTTATTTGGATGGCAAGGGATTATGAGAGTCACTTCCTGAAATACAAATAGAGGAATATACACTCCAAGTCAGATCCCTAGTGTGACCTTCATTTAACGGAACTCAATTTGAATGATCTGAGTATTTTATTGCCTACATTCTAAATTTATAGATCCTCAATGAGAGCGGTCTCATATCAGACACTAGTCTAATTTGATCTTTTTGAAGTGGGCATAAGCTTAAAACAGATTCCTTTGTTTCTCGGACTTCAATCTTCATTAACTTTTTCCTTTAAATCTTAGCTTGAGTGGAGTTTTCCTTTTCAAAAAGCTATTCAGCTTAGTTCAAAACTTCTTAGTTGGGTTAACCACGTCGGCTTTAAAAATTTAAGCTCAAACATTACCTGTGATACATTTTAAGAATATTAAGCACCCAGTATATAATATCAACCTTTCCTCCGATAAATATCATTTTCTACGATTTTTTAACTTGAGAATCTCCAAAGGAAACAGATTATATTTCATATGATACTTCTTAATAATTGAAATTAAGTTTCTTCCCTAGGTAACATTCTCTAAAGATTTTTATTACATCATCTTGTGTTTATAACTTCTTCTTAGAATGGGTGCCAGACCATATTATGAAAACTGTTTGGCGCATGAAAGCAGTACAGTGAAACAGTTAAAAATGTAAGCTAATGAGTCAGACTAATAAGGCTCAAATCCTGTCTTCTCTGTCTACTCCCTGGGTGACTGCACAGATTCTTAAGCTCTCTGTTCATCAGGATTATCATTTTAACAATATTTGCTTAATTGGTTGGGAGAATTAAATGAGCTAAGACTGTAATGCACTTAGAACAGTGCTAGGCAGAGTGCACTAGATACATATTAACCATTATTATTATTACATATTATAGTAATTGTTCTATTGTGTTGTTCTAGATTATTATTTTAGTAGGCTCTCAGAAACTAATTATGGAATAAAGGACTGAATGTGGGAAAACATTCTTCTTCCCTGAAATATTTGAAGTTCAAATTTCATTACCTTGAAATAAACAGAGCACTTTAACCGTAGAATATTAGTAAAAACTGGAAATCGCATTCAATTTTTATCTAAATCCTTTTCCTACAGGATGCTGGGGATTCTAAGGGCCTGGACTGGGCAGGGGACGTTTTAGGGTAAGGCTGGGTGAATAGAGCGCTCCTTACCAGGTCCTGGGTTCAGAGCAAAGAGTCAAAAATGAGAAGAGGAGAAAACCAAGATCTGCAAATCAGAGAATCAAGACACCAAAAGGGAGGCACAGAAGCCAAGAACCTGGAGAATCTGGAAGGTGAGAGTAGAAAACAATGGGTCAGATAAAAAGCTTGATGGTGTTACTGGGACTAATCCTAGGGCAGGTGCTGCCCACAGATCTGATTTTTGGGTGGAAAGGCCATATTTAAGGTGCCGAGGACTGGACTGGGCAGCTAGCTCTGTCCTCACTCTATTCTTGCTGCACCACTTAGACTGCACTGAACAGAACCAGCACTTGGATTTTAAGCTAAGACACATACTCACGATGATATTCTCTACCTTTTAGAAAAACGGCATACATGTGCAACCTCATCACAAGAAAACAGAAAGCATCTCAGAAGCAAAAAGATCAAACAAACATTTACATTTCCCCTACATCAATGCATATACCTCAGCAGGACAACATCATAAAATCATCAGCAGAAACAGAACTAGAAGCTATGGCAGAAACTGCATCTAATAATTTTTAGGCATCTCAGAGATTACTTGCGGGTAAAAGAAACAAAAATAACAGAACAAATGTCAAATCAGTGAAACTGACTTTTATCTGAAATAAGGTATCTCTAGAAAATGATCTTTATCTGAATCGAATTCTTCCTAAAGGGGAGATAGGGAATTCTAGCTTCCTCTTGCTCCCAGTATGTTGAATATTCATCTTGTGAAACAGAATGCAATTTGCATAATGTAGGGCCCAGGTCTGTGTGCAGGAACACCCTTCAGGGAAGGTGGAGGAAGGTTCCAAATGACAAGAGTATTTCCCAGCTCACCACGAAGGGAATCTGCAGCTCACATTTCATCTTCTTTGACAGATTTCCCGGATTTGCTGAAGAAAATATATCACATTGCATGGGAGGCCCCAGAGGATGCTTCTTCTCTGCTTAAGTTTTAGGTGTGTGTGTGTACGTATGTATGTTTACATGTGGTTTTTTTTGTGATGATATTTAACAACAGAGTTTTAAAGAATTTATACTAAGATGACATGCAAACCTAAATAAGAGAATTTTCTTTGAGGCTCCATGATTTTATCCACTTTTGCTCAAGGAATAATGGAAAGAAGTATTTTCATCTAAGTCTCTATTGCTTGGACTTGTGACAGATATGAATTCTAGCTGCATTATAATATATGGATACAGTATACCTGGATATGAATTATTTGTAAACAGTAAATATTACAGAAGAGACTAGAAGGTGCCCAGCTACTAGTACACATGAACACAAAACCGAGACTTGCTTAAATTTAAATGCAATATACATTTTGATAATAGAATTATTTTCCCAATAAAGCATTTACTCAATCTGAATTCTCACTTTTAAAAGAACTAATCTCTCCTAAATTTACTTTTGTAGAATTCCCATTTATTCTGTTTCTTTTTATAAAATAATCTTTTACAAGAAACTCCCTAAGACAAGCACAATTCTAAACAGTAGAAAAAGATTATATCAATATCAACGCTTTCAAAATTGCTCAATTTTCTGTGAACTAGGACATATAAAAATATGCAAATGCACAATTTTAAGAGGTGATATAACTCTTCCACTTGATACACTGATATTATCAAACTTGATGACTAATGAATTAATAGCTCCTACAGCACTGCAGTAAAGGTCAAATACTAAAGCAAAAATGAGAGTCATGAGACAGAACTTTCTCACTTTTGTGGTTGATGCTCTCGCTATTTTGCAGACATTGAATGAACGGCCAATATCTTGGGCATGCTACTTACCGATGGGTAGAGGTAACCTTCTCCATTCATGGCTATATACAACCCTGTTTTCACTCCCTGGATGGCCACGACGCGCAGTCCCACTGGTATGAGGTTGAACAGTGCTGTTAAGAGAAAGACAGTCTGTCACCAAAGGGCAGGAAGAAGCAAAGCATCCCCATCACTTTTCTCTGTCTCATTTGTTCTATTTGAGAAACATTATGTTTCTTACAACCTTCTGAGAAGTTCCAATTCATTAACTTTTATTACTCTATTTAAGAAGTTTCTGTTACAAGTAAAATTTGCACTTGAGCTCCAATTTATAGATCTTAGCAGTCTCCCTATAGCATTCTGAAGAACTGATGGCATAATAAACAGAATCAAGCCTGTAATTGTGATTCTAGAATCAAGCCTGTAATCGTGATTATAGTATCACAGTCTCTGACACCATTTGATACCAAAAGAAATAAGCTACGAAGATTCTGAAAAAGCAGAATTTTAAGAGCCCAAGTTGAGTGTTTATTCTGGTCTTTTAAGTAGAAGGTTTGCTTCATCACTGCAATGTAGGACAGGCAAGAAGTTTAAAAGGTAATTCCAAAACTAAATTACTCTTGCAGAACCAACATGATATGCCAGCAGAGCCCAGAAATGATGTGCACCTGCCAATGTGCTAAATTTAGAAAGAACTACTCAAACTGAATGGCATGCAAATTTCATAGATAATTTTCTTTATTAATAGTTCATAAAACTATGAGTGAAAACTAAAACAAAGAGGGAAAAGTATTCAATTTTACCCACGACAGAGATAAAAACTCATGTTTCCATGTTCTGTTTCTTCTCTTATTGACAGAAATGTATTTTTACGTATATTTTACATTGTGCAGACAGCAATGTTATCACTGATTTTTTTTAAAAAAAGTCTTAACATCCTTAATAATGCATTTCCATGCCATGGTTACATGTGACTGTGTAGCGGGTATTCTAGCACCACTCTTGGTGAGAACTGCTGGATGATTTTGGAGATTTTATCAGAGACACATTTATAAGATAACTGTTAATTATGGGAGGTTATCTGCTCCCATTCTAGTTCTTAATTCAAGTCTAATTCTAAGTAATAGAACCAGGCCAGAAGAGGCAATGAAAACACTAAAATGTCGCAGTAAATGTACAAGTAAAATATCTTAGGTTAAGGCTCTCACCTTTATTCCACAAAAGATACATAGTTTCAAAAATGTGGGCAATTTTGACTTAAATCGATAGGTTTACTCAGTACATAATTTTAAATGGACTTTCTAAATTGTGTTCTATTTAATTCCAAGGCACATGTTTTCTCTGAATAGGGTAGGGGAAAATTATGCCCTCTCTTCCAATTATTACCTATTACTGATCTTGAGATCTCAAGATGTCTGTGCTACTCAGATGATGAAAGGAAAATGGCAGGCCATGGCCCTAGAAAATTATCCTGCAAGAACACTCAGGGGCATATATGATTAGGTGGATATTAGCTTTCATGATGCAAACTAACACTGGACTGTCTTCTGTTGGATTCTAGGGGCTTATGATATCCTTATGGAGGAACAAGGCTTCTGTTTGCTTATTTCTATTAGTTAATATTAAACGTGAGTGTGGATTTATTGAGTATTTGTGTCATGGTAACTCTCAGTATTCCTTCTTCATGGGAGAAAGCCATTGGCCATTTTCACTGTTTTCTATAATACCTGAACTGTCCCATCTCCCTTATATTTTGAAAGGATGGGCATCATAGGGTAATTCCTGATTTATGTGCAAAAGTTTTTTTGAAAACCATAATTGTACATCTATCCATGCAAACTATTCTATCCTAACCTATTCAAACGTAACTATTCTAACCTTCATACGTATCTAATGGTATTTGTAGGTACCATATAATTGATATAGGCCAGATGGAATAATCCTAGAAGGTAAGTGTATCAAGAACTCACTAAAATAACACAGTATGGGAAAGAGTAAAATTATAGAAGATAGTCTAAAATGACTGTACTAAAAAAAAACTGTCCCCCTCCCTAGGATTTTGGTTGTAACCTGAATAATAATTAAAATAATAGTTATTACAATTTACAGGATGAAAACGGAAAGTGAATCCACAGAACCACCGTAACGTGGAAGCCTATTCAGAGCTGACCATGACTGAACCATGGCGCTAATCAAAACCACAGATACCCACATTGAATGAAACATCATTACGTTTTTTTCCCTCTTTTTGTATATAACATAATTATAAAGCAATATCACAAGACCTAGGGGAGTAAGAATAATGAAGATGTCCATGCTACTTTGTTCATTCTGCGGAACACTCCAGTCTCCATAGAATAGTGAATTTTATTCAACCCTGGCTGCACTTTGAAACTAGCTGTATTCATAAAATAGGGTGGCCATGCCCAACTCCAGACCAATGGAATTAAATCAGTCTCTGGGAGTGGGTTTAGGGCACAACGAATTTTTAAAAACAAATGCTCCTCAAATGACCCCGACCTACTGTGAGTGACAGGCCATTTTCAAACAGCAAGTTATCAGGTTGGGAACTTCTAAGGTGAGAGGGATTGGTTTGTATGAGGCTTTGATCTTGCAATAGTTATTGCATATGGATATTTCTATAGTCCTCTTCTGCTTGCAGTATCTGGTAATGGGGACAAAGAAGTTTAAGAGCACAAGAAAAACCCCAGGGCATCCCCAGAAGCAAACTGGGGAAGCAAACCACTCCCTAATCAAATACCATAGTCATGGTAATGCTGACCTTTAGTAGATAGAAGGGAAACTCTAAGAATTTTAAAGAAACACATCCCGGAAAATGAGTGTGGTGATGAGGTAAGCCAGGCACTCACTACCTTTTGTGAAAGATCCTTCCAGGGCACGTGCAAGCCTAGGTAAGCAGGTGAGTTGCTCCAGTACCTCTCTACTAGGACCATTTTCTTGCCCAGATAGTTCTAGATCTCAGACTGTTAAGCCTGAGAGGAGGTTAGTATCAGGTTCGCCTGCAGGCCTTTCTCCTTTCCAACACATTTAAATTTTTTGACAAAGGAAGCTGAGCAGGTTGGTTCGACTTTACCTAGTTTTAAGTAATCTCATATTTAGTAGTGGGCTATTTATTGAGCTCAAATCACGAAAATTGGACGATTCAAGCCTCAGTTTTGTCATTTGACAACTTTTGGGATGGCATCAGGGTGACGTGTAGGTTATTTCTCTTTATTTTTCCTATCTATAGATGACTAATCCTTGTTTTGCATTCAGAGAAATATAAAAAAATGGAATGTGTTTGTGAATTATTACATCATAGCCTTCCTCAAGAAAAAAGGGCAGTGCTCTAATGAGGACCTGTCTGTCAGCATCTCTGATGCTCACCCCCATTTCTAAAGAACACTTTTCAGGGCTAACCATTTCCCTAGGAGTAGAAGATTACTGTGATAAACCAGAGAAAAGAAAATATCTTAAAATTCATCCTGAAAAACTGTGTTTTTCAATTAAGATGGTGATAGTACACAAAAGTAGAGTTAATTAGTAATTCCCGCTGCTTTTATAAAGCTGCTACAATCTGCCAAGTTTTATTAAATTTTACAATCATCCAATTTTTATAACCTTTTGAGAAGGAAACATTTATCTCAGACTGTTTTATTCTGTTCTGCTTTGTCTTTGCAAATGTTGAAATGGTGAAGAAACTAACCTAACTGGCTTAAAGGGCACATAAAATGCAATGGTAACTTGTAAGAAAAGAAACCGTGGGCCAGATCTTTGCATAGGAATCGAAATCCCTCTAGTGAGGTCACTCTGATTTGGTTCTGATTTGCTTGTCCACTGGGGCTCCTGTTCCTGCTTGGTTCCCAGAACTGTTCCTCACCAGTATCTGAGGGGATTAGAAAGGATTTCACGAGCCACCCAGAGATTCTTGTTCCTCCGGTGCAGTTAAACAATAGGAGGAAAGAAGCCTCATACATTCGGGAACAGAAGGTCTAGTATCTTTTACTATCTCAGCTTTCCAGTCTAGTGTTTAATATTATGCAGATAACCAACTATAATCACGTGTGTGTATAATGTCTACATCTGTACTTTCACAATTTAGGAAATATTGTGCTGCTTACTCAATTGTGAAGCAATATGCTTTTAAAAGACAGTGTCTACTTGACACTTCTTAACTCGATATTGAGTCCATAATGAAAAATAACCAATTTGTCTGGCATTACAAAAACAAAAGGAGAAGGTAGGGAAAAAACTCATAAACCATTTGTTTGAAGGAAATTATTTTCCCAGGAAGTCCAACTAAGCAGCATTTTCATACGGCTATAGTATATTTCCTTTCTTGAAAACTTTGTCAAAATGGATGGCATCAACCTCTAGTCTGATAGATCAGTGTCATAGCTCTTATCATAACCATAGTTATGGAAAACTTGTTCTCGTGCTCTACTAGACTCTGGCTGAAGAAAATCAGAGGACATTGAAGACATCAGAACTTAGGAGTCTCTAAAGTCCATGACCCCCATGACTGTAAGATGTAAGAAAAAGAGAATGCGTTTTGTCAAAGAATGGGTAAGGAGTTAAAAGTGGGGAAAGGAAAATGAGCAGATATATATGTATTAACATGAATCAGAAGAAACTGACATCTTTTGTAGGTCAAAGACGGTCAAGTGCTGATGATTTTAAAAGTTCAACCTAATATCAAAATCCCAAAAAGTAAACAATGTTTGACATCAGTCTTATGAATAAAAATGTCTTCTCTTTCTTCTCTGTATCTGAATTGCTTTACCTTCTCTTTTTCTAAATCAAAAGAGGAAATAAAGCGAACAAAAATCAATGAACAAATATGACAGGGAAAAATTTAAAGTACAAAAGGATGACATAATATAAACAAAGAGAGGAAAAGATTAAACATTGAATAGGAGAATGTAGATAAACAAAGAAAATATTTAAAATTGAAAGAAAAATTAAAAATGAAGTGACATCCAAAGTCTAAAATATAAACACAATGGCTGGGAAAATATTGATATTTCACTTAGCAACACCAAATGCAAAAACAGTCTATATCATTAGCTGCTCTCAGAATCAGTGCTTCTCAACAGTTGATTACTAGACTTTAAAACAGGAAGAATCTATAATTTGGTTATATGTATTCAAAGCCTCCTTCTTTCCATAGAATGATGTTCTGTATATGAAGGATAAATGATAAATCAATGAAAAGATTCATATCTACTAGTAATATGTGATTAAATATTTCTAATAAAATCAATTTTTGCTTTTCACTAATTCTCCTGAGCAATAAAAAGTGTGTCTATTTTAGAACTGATGTGCTAAACTAAAGGGAATCAGAGGTCAATGTGAACAGAAAATGGGAAAGGAAAACACAATTGAACAAGAGGGCTGGGCACCAGAATAAAAATACAAAGAAAAGTTATATATAAAGAAATAGTAAAATGAAGACAGACATTAAAACAAGGGAAAGTGGGTGGCTTTTTAATTTAAAAAAATAAATAAAAGCACAGATCCAATTTTATCAAATAAACAATTTGTACAATGCATTTAAAAGCACACAGCCTTCATGTTCTCTCTATAAAGAAAGATATTATCTTTTCTTGTTGAACACAAAGAATTATAAAAATAATATTTTTATTATTTGAAACATAACATTTCTATTATTTGAAACAACTAATCCTTGTAACTCTTGAATTTCCAGTTATCATTAAGAAGCTACAGGCCTAATAAAGATAAAACTTCCAAAGTAAACATGTAATCAACTTTCACCTGAATGTGTTACTGTAGTTACTTGACTTTGATGATAATGAGATTAAAGTAACAATAATGCTGGATATGACAACTGTTTGGAAAAAAAACCTGAAAAGATTAACTAATACGTCTCTTAAAATGACAGGTTTCTTTTGTGGCTCTATGAATATTTCCAGCCATGTGGTCCAAGTAAAATTGTCAATGGCATTCTATTGTGTAACATTTGTAAAAATGAATGAACATAACCCAATATTTGCAAGTGTATTTTTAAAAGTCATTTAAGTAGCAGTGTATCTTCTACCAATTGTGTTCACTGGTGGCCTGAGGTTGTCACTTACTAGAATTAGTGCTGTCATCCTTGGTTCCATCGAGAGCTCCATCGGGGTGCATTTGCAAGTAGTAGCCTTGCCTGCAATATAACCTGGTCACTATACCCTTGAGCTGGGGATCTGAAAGGCAAACATAGTGGTCATAAGCCTCACAATGTGTCACAATTGAATTTCTTTTTTCTTTTCTGTTTCTTTTCTTTCTTTTTCAGAAGTAAGAGGGTATTTTATGGACATAGCACCTTTTATTTTATGTTTCCCAGATGTCTCTGTATTTCTCAAACCTGGAAGATGCTAATCACAGAAGGTGAAGAAACTGCAGTCATCAGCTGAAGCTAATAGGTCATTTTATGAAACTGATATGTGTGTATTTAAATGCTTGGTTACTTAAAAGATTAAACTACTTAATCTGTTAGTTTAGTTATTAGTTAAGTCCTAAACTAACTAGCTTAATAGTTTAAACTAATATGATTCAGACTGGCAGGACAAGAGTTTTGCAAACTTCTGGCTTTAAGAAACCTTGTTAAAGGCTTCTTAACCTTGTTAAAGACTTCTTTAACAAGAAACATTGTTAAAGGCTTTTTACTTAATTTGACAAGGAATTCCAAAATGTGAAAAAGCTGTATTAAAAAAAAGTCACACTAACATTTGGTACACATTCTTAGAAAAAGCCCTGATATGGAGGGTGTTTCCTTGATGTCTAAATGGTCACCCTAACTTGCACAGAAACACCTGTGTACTTATGTGTGATCCATAGGAAAATGTGTAAATCAACTTCTGAACTCAGGGCAAGACACAATAACAAACCTAAGCTCTCTGGCCATAATCTAGACAAATTAGATGAATTAAAAAGATAATCCTATATAACTTATACAACTAAAAAGGACAGTAAAATTGTACAATATGGCTTTTGATTCTTGGCCCAAATGGCTTGAGGTTGAGGGCAGTGAAAGTTTATTAAAACCAAAAGGGGACAGATACACCAGAAATACATCTACACGTGGAACAACTCCTACAGAACACCTACCGAACGCTGGCAGAAGACCTCAGACCTCCCAAAACGCAAGAAACCCCCCACGTACCTGGTTAGGGCAAAAGAAAAAAATAAACAGAGACGAAAGGATACGGACGGGTCCTGCACCAGCGGGAGGGAGCTGTGAAGGAGGAAAAGTGTCCACACACTAGGAAGCCCCTTCGCGGTCGCAGACTGCGGGTGGCGGAGTGGGGGAGCTTCGGGGCCGCAGAGGAGAGCACAGCAACAGGTGTGCGGAGGGCAAAGCGGTGAGATTCCAGCACAGAGGATCAGGGCCGACCGGCACTCACCAGCCGAGACGCTTGTCTGCTCACCCGCCGGGGCGGGCGGGGCTGGGAGCTGAGGCTCCGGCTTCAGCCGGAGCGCCGGGAGAGGACTGGGGTTGGCGGTGTGAACACAGCCTTCAGGGCGTTAGTGCACCGCGGCTAGCCGGGAGGGAGTCCGGGGAAAAGTCTGGACCTGCCGAAGAGGCAAGAGACTTTTTCTTCCCTCTTTATTTCCTGGTGCGCGAGGAGAGGGGATTAAGAACGTTGCTTAAAGGAGCTCCAGAGACGGGCGCGAGCCGCGGCTAAAAGTGCGGACGGGCATGAGACGCTAAGGCTGCTGCTGCCGCCACCAAGAAGCCTGTGTGCGAGCACAGGTCACTCACTATCCACACCCCCTTCCGGGGAGCCTGTGCAGCCCGCCATTGCCACGGTCCCGTGATCCAGGGACAACTCCCCCGGGAGAACGCACTGCGCGCGTCACGCCGGCGCAACGTCACGCCGGCGCGACGTCACTGCGGCCTCTGCCGCCGCAGGCCCGCCCCGCACTCCGTGCCCCTCCCTCACCCCCGGCCTGAGTGAGCCAGAGCCCCCGAGTCAGCGGCTCCTTTAACCCCTTCCTGTCTGAGCAAAGAACAGACGCCCTCCGGCGACCGACACGCACAGGTGGGGCCAAATCCAAAGCTGAACCCCTGGGAGCTGTGAGAACAAAGAAGACAAAGGGAAATCTCCCCCAGCAGCCACAGAAGCAGCGGATTAAAGCTCCACAATCAACTTGATGTCCCCTGCATCTGTGGAATACATGAATACACAACGAATCATGCCAAATTAAGGAGCCGTGTGGATGAAAGGCTCTTGGTGCTGCAGCCAGGAGTTAGTGCTGTGCCTCTGAGGTGGGAGAACCAACTTCAGGACACTGGTCCACAAGAGGCCTCCCAGCTGCACATAATATCAAACGGCGAAAATCTCCCAGAGATCTCCATCTCAACGCCAGCACCCAGCTTCACTCAACGACCAGCAAGCTACAGTGATGGACATCCTATGCCAAACAACTAGCAAGACAGGAACACAATCGCACCCATTAGCAGAGAGGCTGCCCAAAATCATAATAAGCCTACAGACACCCCAAAACACACCACCAGACGTGGACCTGCCCACCAGAAAGACAAGATCCAGCCTCATCCACCAGAACACAGGCACTAGTACCCTCCACCAGGAAGCCTACACAACCCACTGAACCAACCTTAGCCACTGGGGACAGACACCAAAAACAACGGGAACTACGAACCTTCAGCCTGCAAAAAGGAGACCCCAAACACAGTAAGATAAGCAAAATGAAAAGACAGAAGAACACACAGCAGATGAAGGAGCAAGATAAAAACCCACCAGACCTAACAAATGAAGAGGAAATAGGCAGTCTACCTGAAAAATAATTCAGAATAATGATAGTAAAGATGATCCAAAATCTTGGAAATAGAATAGACAAAATGCAAGAAACATTTAACAAGGACCTAGAAGAACTAAAGATGAAACAAATAATGATGAACACCACAATAAATGAAATGAAAAATACTCTAGATAGGATCGATAGCAGAATAACTGAGGCAGAAGAACGGATAAGTGACCTGGAAGATAAAATAGTGGAAATAACTACTGCGGAGCAGAATAAAGAAAAAAGAATGAAAAGAACTGAGGACAGTCTCAAGAGACCTCTGGGACAACATTAAATGCACCAACATTCGAATTACAGGGGTTCCAGAAGAAGAAGAGAAACAGAAAGGGACTGAGAAAATATTTGAAGAGATTATAGTTGAAAACTTCCCTAATATGGGAAAGGAAATAGTTAAATCAAGTCCAGGAAGCACAGAGAATCCCATACAGGATAAATCCAAGGAGAAATACGCCAAGACACATATTAATCAAACAGTCAAAAATTAAATACAAAGAAAGCATATTAAAAGCAGCAAGGGAAAAACAACAAATAACACACAAGGGAATCCCCATAAGGTTAACAGCTGATCTTTCAGCAGAAACTCTGCAAGCCAGAAAGGAGTGGCAGGACATATTGAAAGTGATGAAGGAGAAAAACCTGCAACCAAGATTACTCTACCCAGCAAGGATCTCATTCAGATTTGATGGAGAAATTAAAACCTTTACACACAAGCAAAAGCTGAGAGAGTTCAGCACCACCAAACCAGCTCTACAACAACTGCTAAAGGAAGTTCTCTAGGCAAGAAACACAAAAGAAGGAAAAGACCTACAATAACGAACCCAAAACAATTAAGAAAATGGGAATGGGAACATACATATCGATAATTACCTTAAATGTAAATGGACTAAATGCTCCCACCAAAAGACACAGATTGGCTGAATGGATACAAAAACAAGATCCATATATTTGCTGTCTACAAGAGACCCACTTCAGACCTAGAGACACATACAGACTGAAAGTAAGGGGATGGAAAAAGGTATTTCATGCAAATGGAAACCAAAAGAAAGCTGGAGTAGCAAGTCTCGTATCAGACAAAATAGACTTTAAAATAAAGACTATTAGAAGAGACAAAGAAAGACACTACATAATGATCAAGGGATTGATCCAAGAAGAAGATATAACCACCGCAAATATTTATGCACCCAACATACGAGTACCTCAATACATAAGGCAAATACTAACAGTCATAAAAGGGGAAATCGACAGTAACACATTCATAGTAGGGGACTTTAACACCCCACTTTCAACAATGGACAGATCATCCAAAATGAAAATAAATAAGGAAACACAAGCTTTAAATGATACATTAAACAAGATGGACTTAATTGATATTTATAGGACAGTCCATCCAAAAACAACAGAATACACATTTTCCTCAAGTGCTCATGGAACATTCTCCAGGATAGATCATATCTTGGGTCACAAATCAAGTCTTGGTAAATTTAAGAAAATTGAAATTGTATCAAGTATCTTTTCCGACCACAACGCTATGAGACTAGATATCAATTACAGGAAAAGATCTGTAAAAAATACAAACACATGGAGGCTAAACAATACATTACTTAATAACGAAGTGATCACTGAAGAAATCAAAGAGGAAATGAAAAACTACTTAGAAACAAATGACAATGGAGACACGACGACTCAAAATCTATGGGATGCAGCAAAAGCAGTTCTAAGAGGGAAGTTTATAGCAATACAATCCTACCTTAAGAAACAGGAAACATCTTGAATAAACAACCTAACCTTGCACCTAAAGCAATTAGAGAAAGAAGAACAAAAAAACCCCGAAGTAGCAAAAGGAAAGAAATCATAAAAATCAGATCAGAAATAAATGAAAAAGAAATGAAGGAAACGATAGCAAAGATCAATAAAACTAAAAGCTGGTTCTTTGAAAGGATAAACAAAATTGATAAACCATTAGCCAGACTCATCAAGAAAAAAAGGGAGAAGACTCAAATCAATAGACTTAGAAATGAAAAAGGAGAAGTAACAACTGACACTGCAGAAATACAAAAGATCATGAGAGATTACTACAAGCAACTCTATGCCAATAAAAGGACAACCTGGAAGAAATGGGCAAATTCTTAGAAAGGCACAACCTGCCAAGACTGAATCAGGAAGAAATAGAAAATATGAACAGACCAATCACAAGCACTGAAATTGACTGTGATTAAAAATCTTCCAACAAGCAAAAGCCCAGGACCAGATGGCTTCACAGGCGAATTCTATCAAACATTTAGAGAAGAGCTATCACCTATCCTTCTCAAACTCTTCCAAAATATAGCAGAGGGAGGAACACTCCCCAACTCATTCTACGAGGCCACCATCACCC